CATTTGACACAAACCAATGCCTGTACTCCGGACTACTGTCGGGAATATTTCTGCCGAATAGATATACATCAGTGTATAAGAGGCGGAAATATTGCTTTTGCCAAATATGGCCACAATTGTGAACAATGGACTTGAATGGGGAATCAATATTGTGCTCAAACACGACAGACCGGCCAGTAATGAAAATACAAACAAAATCTTTTTGCGACCAAAGAATTGCATGACTAAAGTGACGATAATGTTTGCCGGGATATCAGCCGCAGCTATGGCCCCGAGTGTTAAATAAGTATTGGATCCCATGCTTGAGGCCTGAAATGATAAGCCATAGAAAATCATGGAATCGATAATCCTATAAATGACAATCACAATCGTATATTTGAGGGATTATTATAATATAATTACTTTCTATTTTCAAAATATTTCAAAACATACCAAATGACAAAAAGGTTGAAAGACCAAAATCTAATGGCTTTATGTTTTAATATATCCATTGCTCCATAATGTATGGATTCGTATGAATTTTGCGATGAATTAGACGAATGATTTAATATTTTCTATAAAAAATTATAATTTATAAATTACCAAAACTAAATTAATAGCTATAGTAAATATACTTGATGAGTGAATTCCGGTTCATTTAGTTGGCACCCATTCCAAAGGGCAGCTTTTCGTAGTGTAATCAATGCTTTATTGAACTTTCCATTTGACACTTGCCATCGAATAGATTCAGGGAATAACCTAAATATGATCTTGTTAAATACATATAGAATTTAGAGAATACTGGACATACCAGGGGTAGAATATTGTAAGTATAATAGGAAGTGACAAAACCAATTGCAAGTAACGCCAATCGCGGACATTGTATGCGATTATACATAAGAGTATAGTTCCAGAAGAATAGATAATTTCTTGAAGGTTAGCGCAAAGAACTCGATATTTATCACCAATGAATTCAATTCCTAAGAAAAGGGAATAGTATTTAAAATACATAATAAATTTGAAGGACTAATAGATGTAGAAACCTATGATGAACGAGGCCTGACTCATGCCTACTATACACGCGGCTGTTATAGCCGTCAGAATAGTAAACACATAGAGATTGGGTGCAAATGATGTGAACAAACTCGATGTCAAGCATATAATGGGAGCGAAAGTGAACAATGCTTTGCGACCATATCTTAATTGTAAAACTTTATTAAATAACATAAATATCTTATAAATGAGAAATCAAATACCTGTCAGAGAATGAGCCAAAGAATATGTTACCGAAAAGGACTCCAATCATGAGTACAGACTGAGAGAGGGGTAGTTTCCATGAATTGTCACAAACGACATCCCACTGAACAAAAATCTTTTACTCAAAATTCATGATTTTTTAACATTTATAACTCGTCTGTCAAATCATTTAATACTTGTGTGACAACTGTTGAGTGAAACTCTGTCTTATCATAAATATATTGATCACAACTTTCTATTGTTTTATTAGAGAACCATTTCTCTTGACATTTATTTGTATTATTTGTAAAATCACTAATAGTTGTTGAAAATCGACGACAACTACTGTAGAGATCGGGTATTGAAAATGAATTGTTTTGACTAAAGACTTGTTGAATTTGAACACTTGAATCGCATTCTCTTATTAAACATCTATTAAATTTAGAAATTGAAGCTAGTTAAAGTTAAAGTTAAAGTTAAAGATTTTATTTTTTATATGAATGTTTTGACTAAAGACTTGTTGAATTTGAACACTTGAATCGCATTCTCTTATTAAACATCTATTAAATTTAGAAATTGAAGCTAGTTAAAGTTAAAGTTAAAGATTTTATTTTTTATATGAATACCTGTGACGCGGAGTACCGGTAATAAAAACAGTGGACATTAAAGTAAGTCCCGAGTTTAGGACAGGGATGCATGAAATGACAAATACAAATAATTGGTAATACCCGAAAGCACCCAATTGTGAAAGAGCTATGTTTGAATCCATTGTCAATTATTTTACAATATATATAATATATTTCTTTTAATATTTTTTCTTTTAAATAAAAAGAGTTTAAAAGTGAGAAACTTATATAAGTTTGTAATGAAATAACAACATATAAGATCCTAGGTCTTATATAAGGCCCTAGTGTTCATCAAATATAAAGCTTTAACGCATAAAACATTGAAATCTAATTGTACTATCAAACTGTTTCACGTCTAACAGTAATTGATTACAAATACGATACAAATTCATGTGATGTTTATTCAATGAATTTGAAACGAAATCGTCAGTTGAGAAGGAAATCCCAACAATTTATACAAAATCTGAATGAATGACTGCATTGTAAACATGTTTAGCAAACTGAGAGATTGGCATATCTTAAACACAGCTGTTTATAAAAGCAGTTCATTTTGACCGCACTGTCAGTTTTACTCATATTTTGTATTTACAGCCAAATGAATGATTTAATTGTTTTAAAAATCAATCTATTAAATAATAATTTGGAAAATATTTATAATTTATAAATTTTCATCTAATGTCTGAACTGGTTTTTGTTGTGAAAACAGTTTTGAACTAAATTTAAGTTTTATTAATTTGCACACATTATTTACAATTACAATATAATTATTGTATAATATTTATGTGAAAAGTTAACTGGTTCTTTGTTTTATCGTTAATATATTGTAATACAATTTTAATTTAATAAGTACTTTTATAAATTAAAAAATAAAAGTTCAAAGAGTAGATAATAAAAACCATATGCTAATTATCTTATTATATCATAATCATAAAGTATTAAATTTGTAAATAAAAAAGTTTCTAATTTACTGTTTAGTTTTTATGATTTAGATTCAATATAATCAATAAGCATACCTATTTATTAGTAGTTTTTGTTATTGTTTTAAAAATATCATTAATTTAAATTTGTTTCAAAAACAAATAAAGGGTCCAAAAAACAAATCGTGTTTTGTATTCATTAGATGCTCTAATTTAGAGTCTAAATATACAAATTAGAAAAATAAAATTTTTAATTAACTTTTAGTACACAATATATTTCTGTAGATTCATTAGAAAGAATAAACAATAAAATGTTTATTAAAATATTACTTAAACAATAATCATAATAATTGTATGTAAATTCCATTTAAATATGTATATTTACTTAATATTATATAAATTATACATTGAACTAAGAAATACATTTGATTTTTAATTACTATTTGAATTTCATTATAATTAAATAATATTCAATATAAATGCAGTTTATTTTCTTATAAA